GAGTTCAGGGCTGCTACTAAGACCTTCAGGGTTTAGGGATTATAGGGCTTATAGGGTCCTAGAATCCGAAGCCCTAAACCCTGAACCCTAAACCCCTAAACCCCTAAACCCTAAACCCCAACTTCTAGGGCTTATAGGGCTTCTAGGGTTTATAAGAGTTCAGAGCTCCTGCTCAGACTTTTAGGGTTTATAGGGTTTATAGGGCTTATGGGGTTTATGGGGTTTCGAGGGTTTATATGGGGCTTTCTGGGGTTTATGGGGTTTACACGGGGTTTATAGGGTTTATACGGTTTATAGGGCTTTATGGGGCTTATTGGGTTTGTAGTTTAGGGTTCTGAAACCCTGCGCTTAGAAGGGCACTGAGCTGGGCACCTACGCCCTGATCCTCAAGCCAAGACTCAGACCCGAAGCCCTAAACCCAACATTCCCAAACCTGAAACCTTAAGCCCGAAACCCGAAACCCAAACACCCTAAACCCCAAAGCCGAAACCCAACAGTCCTGAACCTGACATCCGAAACCCTAAACCCCCTAAACCACCACAGCCTTAGCAGGTGAATCAGCTGGACCCTGAAGCTTAAGTCCTAAACCCGAAGCCTGAAACCCTAAATGCTCTAAGCCCGATAAGACCTATAAACCCCAAACTCTATCAAACCTACAACTTAAATCCTAAATCCTGAACCCGAAACCCTAAACCCCTAAAAACCTAAACCCTAAACCCTAACAATACCCTAAACCCTAAACCCCATACCCTAAACCCCATAAAGCCTCAGCAGGTGAATCAGCTGGACCAACACCATCAGACCGCCCTGATGTGGGCGGCTTCGGAGGGGCACTTGGCGACGGTCACCGGCCTGGCGAAGAAGGTGGACGTTATGTTGGGGTTGAGGGTTTAGGATTCAGGGGATTATTAGGGTTGGGGGTTTAGGGTATTAGTTTTGGGTTTCGGGTTTAGGGTTTAGGGTTTAGGGTCATTATTAGAGTTTAGGGTTTAGGGGTAGGGTATTACTAAATAGGGTTTAGGGTTTACGGTTTAAGGTTAGGGTTTAGGG